AAAAAAAAAAAAAAAAAAAAAAAGATCATGTCAATTGCTTTGGATAGCTATTTAGTAATTAGGCCTCCTTTTACTTCCTTAGTTACAATAACTCTTTTAGGAACCAAATACTAAATTAACTTAGCAAAACCTAATCTTTTCTCGCTCGAAGAAAGAATGCGAAGGATCAAATCATAGATATAGCAGATCTTAAGAGGCGGAAGAAAAGGAACCACGGCAATAAAGAGAACGTGGAGTCCGAAAGTGAAGAAGCTTTCCTCTTCTTTTAGTCGAGCATGCCCGTCCTTTAGCAAATATTGTGTTTAATTTTACGTACAAATTAAAGGAGGTTTGTTATGTTATTTATTCTTACTCTAATATATTCTTTTATTCCAAAGAATAAAAGAATATAACATAACTTTGCATACGTTAAAAACAGAATCTAGTCAGTGCAAAAGAGGATCTCTTTCTATATATCATGATCTAAGAAAGAAGAATACAACATATATATATATATATATATATATATATCTGCAAGATATGTTGAAATGAGAATGATGTACTCATGACTGTTAACTAAATTACATGCAAAAATCTGCCTTTTGGTAGAGGCTATTTCCAGGATCAGCGACAAATTTCCAGCATATGAAAATAGCATAAAAGTTATACTAGTGCTAGTCATACACACAATAACGAAAACGAAACAAAATAAATTCTGCTAACCTTTTTCAACCTTGCTGTGTGGCGTTGCAATCCGAAGTTTCAGGGGGGAATATCATGAGCTTGAATTTGGAACTATCCGGAGCTTGACAGATCTCCATTCCAAATTTGCGTTTTTTAGATTCTTGTATCAGCTCTCTCTTTCTGCATTCGATTGCTTTTGCAGATTTGATTGCCTTGTTTGTGTTCTCCAGAGTCATCTGTTGAAGGCTACTTACACCAGCCAGCCCAAATGGCACAACCTCAAGCTTATCACAGGATATAAGAACAAGACACTTAAGTCTTTGGAATGAAAGATCTGAAGCCTTCCAAATCTCAAAGTCTGCTCTTTGAATGAGCAATACCTTGAGTTGGCTAAAACAGCCTCCGATATCTAAATCCCAGGTCATCCCGCTAAATGCATTNGTCCCGCTAAATGCATTTTCCTTCAGCTTTAGGACCTCAAGGCATTCCAATCGCGCTAGTATATTTGCATCACTCCAAGGAAACTTAGTATTTGACAAAGTTAGCTTATTCAGTTTTTGCAGATACTCGGCGAATGCTGGAGGAAGTTGAACAACTTTTCTCATGGACCTGCCAAAGTCATTCATCAACTTCAAATGTTCCAGGAACTTTAGCTTTGCAAAGTTTCTGAACCCACCCTTATTAGTTTCAAAAAACTCAGCCATTTCCCCTTGAATACTCACTTTTTTGAGATTACAAGCCCTTACAAGCACATCTTCTCCGCAACTACCTGGTGCTACTTTAGAAAGAGTTTGTAGGCAAGACGATCCATACGTTGTTTGGGCAGCAGGGGATGTCAATTTTGCAGGGACGTTGGTGTGCAAATGCCTTAACTGTAGCATGTTCCATATGTCTGCTTTTATCTCAATGGTGGACGCCTTTGTATTAAGTATAAGCGTTTGTAAATTCCAAAACTTACCAACGAATGCAGGAAGGCTTGCATAGTTACCTGAGATAGCAATGTACCTCAAATGATATAGCTCTTTAAAAAGATTTGAGAAACTAAAATCGAGGGATTCAATGTCCAAGACCCTAACCAGTGGAAATGCTTTGTGGAGGAGTCGAATGTCACTAAGCTGCTCACTTCCTTTATGTTTTTTGGAAAAACATAAGAAAGACCTAACATGCTCAGCAGATGGTTTTGTGGAGATAAAAGACTCCAAAAGAGGGAGTTGAATAAGCAATCGACGAGAAGTATCCAGATCTGGTATAGAAAGACCAAGCTGATCGGTTTTTTCACATACTTCTTGAAAAAAACCTTCATTTTTAGCCTCCATTTTGCAGAACTGGTGCAACATGTCGTGAATACGACAT